TGACGCTCATTAGCATATTCCAGACCTCAAAGTGCTCTGACTCTCCTCCCACTGGCATACATTTAAGCGCCTCTATGGCTCCAATCCCACATTAGCAGTCACTAGAACTTCATATATCATCCTGCCCCTTCTTAGTGCATTCCAGAATCTCACATCCTCTGTCCTCATGGGGACACATACACACTCACTGATCTCATACCATCATGATCCTTAATACACTGAATCTCTTCCAGTGCTAAGACACTTCCCTCCCACCACCCCAGCCCCCAATATATCCACAACTCTGATACCCAGCAGCACAGGCTCAGGTCTTCCACCACTGTCCTCATTAGCATATACTGGGCCTCATGCTACCCAGACCTTTATTACCAAATGCACCTACCCTCTACAGCTATGACCCCCATTAGCACATTCTCAACACTCCAGTTCTTCCACTATCCCACCCTTCACGAACACACTCTGGACCCTCACACACTGCAGTCCCTCATGGACAAACACACAGTATTAACACCATCCTGACTCTCATTACCACACACGGGGCCTCAGAGCCCTGATCCTATTAGCACACCTTCTGGTACCTCTACCACTTATCCCCCATTCACACACACAGGGCCTCTCTAGAGCTATAACCCTATTTGCATATCTTAGCACTCCTCTGACATCCTCTCCCTCGGGTCCCTCCAACGCCGTGCACTGCCCCCGCCACCCCCCTTAGCACACACTGGGCCTGAAACCTTACACAGCGGTAAGACTTATTACCACATGCTCCGACTCCTCCAGAGCTCAAGCCACCATTAGCAAACCTCGAATCTTTTACCACTGTGCCACCCATTTCCACTCCCTCTGGTCCTTCGATCACCCTGCTCCCCATTAGCTCCCACAGTACTTCCCATCCCTAGCTCCCGGACCGGGCCCAGGGCGGGGCCAAGGTCAGGGAGGCCCCGAATGACCCCCCCCCGGCCCAGTGCATTCTGGGAAATTCGCTGGGGGAGGGGGCACATGCCAGCGGTGCAGCCCAGACCCCTGGGCACCGCCCGGGGTCTGGGCTGGTTCTGTAGGAGGAAGGGCAGCCCCCACCCCACGTCTCGGGGACGCGCTCACCGGCGGGGGCGCGCGAGCAACCTCAGCGCCGCGGGGCCGGCGCGGCGGCGCCTGGGGCGGCGGCCTGGGTTGAGGCCGCGCGACCTCCTTCTCCTCCTGTTCGCCGCAGGCGCCCGTCCCAGTAGTCTTCGGCCATGGCTGCTGGGCCCGGGCCGCCGCCGGCTGAGGAGGAGGAGGCGGCGGCGGCGGCGGTGGCTGAGGCGGAGGCGGCGTCCCGCTCAGCCGGCCATGAGCTTGGCCGCTGCGGGCGATGCCCCCGGGCTCGCTGGCGCCGGCTCGAATGCGAGAGCTCACGGCGGCTCGCGGCTCAGAGCCGACTGCTCCCGGAGACGCGGCGGATCCCAGGGCCGACCAGCCAACGGCCCAACCGCCGCGCGCGTCGCGCTCCGCGCATGCGCACGCACGCGCTGGACAGGGTGAAGTGGGAAGGAGGGGACTCACCTCGGACTGCATGTACCAAAAGACCCGTCCGCAGCGGGAGGGGGCGCGGCCATTGCGCGCACACCCGGGAATGTGGCGCTGGCCCTGGAACGGCGCCAGGGGGAATTGTAGAGGTTATTTAGTACTCAGTTTCGATCTTGCTAGAAGTTTGCTAGCGCCGAAGTGGGCAACAGCCAGTAACCGGCGTGCCAGTCACCACTTGCTCCCCCTACTCGGTCTCACTTGGTACATCCCCATGGTGGCAAACGGGACTTTTGCAAGGAGGAAAACACAGATGAGGCAGGCAGTCTCAGTCTCTTGAGGTGTCTCGGGAGGCAGGGATTTTAAAGGTTCGCGAGAAGATGACTTTTCTAGGAGAGGTGGCCCAGAGAATCATTGGCCTTTACCACCTCAGATAGGACAGAATCTAACCCCGCCCAGCTGCCTCCCGCCCCCAACCGCTAGCTGGTTCCCGCTGTGAACGTGTGCGGCTCCGCCCTTTGAGGTTGTCGCCCAGCCAATCGGATTTGTTCCCTGGGTGAGGCAGAGCAAGAATAAAGGGCGTGGCTGGGCCGAAGAGGCGTGATTTCACTGCCCCCCCCTACCACGCCTCTGCCGGGTTTTCCTCGTTGGGAGGAGGCGGGCCCTTCTTTTTGTTCTGGGCTCCTCTCTCACTATAGGCTGACTATCCCGCAACATGATTGGTCAAAAGAACGTTCAATCACGTTTCGTCCCGCCTTTAACCCCGCCCACCTCCCCCCAGCGAGTTTCGCGGGGCGGAGCCTAGGCTGAGAAGAGAGGAAAGGTGGACCTTTAAAGGGGCGAGTGCATTACTGCGCATGCTTGGGACTTTGGGTTGAACGGGGTCTCTGCCTCACGCGAGCGTTTGCGTAAGCACCCTGAATTGGGTTTTCCTGCAGCCTCTCGGCTACCTCTTCTTGCCTGCCAGAGCCCCGCCCGTGGCTCCCCCGGCCCTGCGGTTTTCTATTTTACTTATTGGGTGCCTGTTATGTGTCAACACTGCCAGGCAGACCTAATCCCTGACCCCTCTCTGCCTGGAAAACTACATCAAGCCCAGCTCAAATGGCGGCAGCCTTCTGGGGCATCTTTACGCTGCACCCCAGTCTAAAGCCAGCTTCCTCGCCTCTTCTGGGCTTACCTTTATAGCAGCCTTGGTCACACCGGTCAGAGTTTTCAGTAAGATTCATACTAGTGTGGATTTACCGGAGGATGATGGGAAGAGAAATATTTGACAAAGACAAAAGTCCACTGCAGGCTAGACAATCAGGTCCATCATTTCTCTGATCTCATCTCCTACCCTTCTTCCTCTCACTCTGCTCCAGTCATACTAGTCTCCTAGCTATTCCTGAATAAAGCAGGCATAGTCCAGCCTCAGGGAGTTTGCACTTGCTGTTCCCTTTGCCTGGAATGCTCTTACCCCTGATATCCACATGCGTCATCCCCTCACTTCTTCCAAGTCTTTGCTTCAAGGTCACCTTCTTCGTGAAGCCTTCCCTGACTACTCTATTTTAAAATGCCTACCTGCACCCCTATCATTCCACATCCCCAGATGTGGTTCCACAGACCTTTCAAATAGCACTGATCAACTTCTAACAGAATTTATTGTGTTTACTGTCTATCCTGGGTCTCACTTTAGCAGAACATAAGCCCCCGCCCCCCAAAATGACAGGTATCTTTTTTATCCATCGCTGTCTCCAATGCCTAGAATAGTGCCTCGCACTAAGCACTCAACGAATGTTGAATGCCTGATGGCAAATAGCTCCAGGCAGACAAGAGAAGACAACCTTGTCCCCCCCTGTCCTTTATGCATGCTGATGCAGGGGGCTCAGCCCCCTGCCCCCTGAGCCCTGGTCTCCTATCTTGCTGGTGTTACAATGGTAGACAAGTATGACAGAAAGTAAGGCAGCGTGTGTGAGGGAACTAAGATGCAACCAGGTTTCTTGGATTCTTGATGAAGGATGTCAGGTGCGAATAAGGTGGCAAGGGGATCCGGAAACTGTGGTAGTGAAGAAAGGGACAGAAGTGTCTGGAGAATCAGGAGCTGTAATGGGGAAGACACAGTGAACAAGGTGTCTAGAGTACCCATGAGGGAGCTGGGACACTGGAGAAAGGGGCAGAGGAACATAGTGTGCAAGCCTCAGATGCTGTTAACGGTGGAAACAGTGGCCAGAAGTGGGAGCACTTGGAGTACTCTAGAACAGCAATAATGGAAAAAGTGCCTGTGGTGGGAAAACCATTCCACTTGATCCAGACAGCTGGCATCACCACCAAATAGATGCCAGAGGTAAAGCACTTCAGTCCCAATGTCCTGCTGGGGAACCAAAAGGATACGATGAGGTCACCCAGACAGAGTAGGCCAAGAAAAAAAGTCATGAGAGGGAGGTGGGCAAGAGCAAACACTGTGCCTGGGGTCTGGTGCTGGCCCAGGAGGCAGGAGATGCGGGGAAAGGCGGTGATGGGTGTCAGGCCAGGTTCAGGGACAGGCTGTGCTGTTCCCAATACCCAGGTTGGAGTGAAGGAACGAGGCGTCTGTTTCTAAGCAGGAGAGAGAAGCTGGAGTCTGGCTGAGGCAGGGAGAGGTATGAGTGGCATTCTCAGGCACCAGGTGGCCAGTCAGACTGGTGCTTTCAAGTGTCTGGAGCGCTCAGCCAAGACCAACGACAGAGCATGGGCAGCTCTGCAGTCCTGGTGGGGCCTGTGCTGAGCCTCCTGCTACTGCCTGCTCTAACCAATCACCAACCACAGCCCCCACAGCTGGCTCTTTAAAGGTAGGAGGCCTCAGGACAGGCAGACCAGGCCTGAGAGGGGCAGGGTGGGGGTGGGAAAGGGGCTTTTCCTCTACAGATGTTCTCAGCCAAACTTTTCATGAAAAGTGCAAAGTATGCACAGGCACTGGCATTCCTCAGTCCGGCAGAGCCGTTTAGGCGCCCCTGCAGCAGGGAAGTTGAACTAAGGGCACCACAGGCATTCCTGGCACTGGGAACCATGATGATAAAGGCTTGTCCAGGGGGCTGAGTACCTCAAGCCGGGTGGGAAGGGATCTGCTCCAAGAACATAAACCACGTTGGCCAAGCCCTGACTGACTGGTCACTGTAACTTTCCTCTTCACAGAGAGGGTACAAGGGTAGAGAAGTTAAAGGGCTGGCTCAAACACTCCTCTTTACTACCTCTCAAAATCAATATGGCAGGGAGTGAGGAGCTGGAGCTGGAGAAGGTGGAACTTGAATTCAGTTCCAAGAAAGTAAGTTACACAGCCCCAGGTACCTGCTCTCTACGGCCTCACTTGTGCCTCCGGTTCTTCCTAAGCAGGGAGGGTAGGAGGAAGAGGTGGCAATTCCCGCATTTTCTCTGCCTAGGAACCTGGCAGCCGGGGTGAGGCTGAGCCCTTCAGGTTAGCACCAGAACCAGAAAGCTCCAGGAAGTCCCTTCCTTCCCTGGAACCAGGAGGGCATGCCACGTCTGGGTTAATAATTCTTTATTAGGATTCAGGCTCCAAACAAGGTAGAAAGCAGCGGCCAGAGGGATTTACGTAGGGGATGAGGAGGGAACACCAGGCTTGGCTAGCTGGGCCACTGCCAGAGGCCAAATGGGAGCCCTGGGCTGGAAGGGGTCTGGAGGTGGGTGGGCTGGGGCCAGTCTACAGGAGTGGGTGGGGGTCAGCGAATGGTGTATCGTACATAGGGGACCTCAACATCCTCGCCGCTCTCGTCGTTGCAGCACAGCTCAAGCACCAGCGCCCGCACATGGCGGCCCAGCTTTCGCTTCGACACACGGCTTACGATCTCTGTCATCCTGGAGGCAGGGGAGCAGAGGGTCAGGAAGGCAAAAAGCAAGAGAGAGGAAGGGCAGGTAGATGGGGGCTGAGGAGGTGAAGGGCAGTGAACAGGAGTGGGATAGCTGCAAGCTGGGGCTCCCCACCACCCAACTCACGGCTGGTCCAACCGTTCCTTGAGCTTGGCGGCTGGCATGAAGAAGGAGTAGAGCATAGACACACCCTGGGACAGCATGGTGATCTCCAATTTATGCTCTGTCTGGAAGAGGAGCGAAGGGGGATAGCAGTGTCACAGGGGTGGACAGGCCAGCGAGTCACCTGCACACTCCGCCCCCAGGTGGGGTGGGAGTGAGGAAGGGGCCTCACCTTGAAGAAGTCAAGGAACTGTTTGAGGGTCATCTCTTCACCATTAGGCTGCAGCCCCTGTACCTCAAAGCGATCCCACAACGTCCACTCTTGGTTATAGTACTGCGGGACAAAGAGCAGGCCAGTGGGATGGGGGCCACCTGAGGGGCTAGCTCCATCAGCCTCCCCCCTCCACTCATGCAGATGGGCTAAGTCAGATCGCAAGCCTCTTTTGTCCAAAACTCACTCTTGTAGCTTCTGTCTCACCCTGAGTAAGCACTGAAACCCTTAAGATGATCAACAAGGCCCTACATCATAGAAATCCTATTCTCTTCTCTTCATCTCCTACCCTCTCATCCTCTCACTCACTCTCCTCTAATGATGTATACTTCCTCAAACATGCCAGGCACTCTCCTACAACAGTGCCCTTATGGAGACTGGTCCTTCTGCCTGGAATGCCTCCCCTCCAGAAGCCTGCACGATCTGTCTCCTCACCTCCTCCAAGTCTGGACTCAAATGGCATCTTTTCAGCAAGGCCTTTCCTGACCATCCCACATTTAAAATCCCAAACCCATCCGCTCGCCACCTGGTACTCTCAAGTCCTCCTTATCCTGCTTTTTTGGGTTCCAAAATCATTTATCATTTTATTTATATAATCTATTTCACAAATACAACCTTAGCACCTATAAGAGTACCTGGCACACAGCAGGTGCTCAATAAATATTTGAGTGAGTGAATGAACGAAGCAAGTAAAAGCACTTAGCATAGTAAGCACCCAATAAATGTTGGCTGCTATTACTGTGTAGTTATTAATAATGTCCTAGGGCACAATTCAAATATCCCATCTTTTCTGAGGGCTTCCACAGACAGAATCAGACCAGTGCTTAGTACATAGAATGTACTTGAAAAATATGGTGAATGAATAAACGAACAAGGGGTGCACAAAAGGAGTAGGTACACATTGACAGAAACACTCACCTGGTAACAGGCTATGCAGCAAACTAGAGCCAGCTCCACGAAAAAGCACCCTACCCACAAACCCACCGCCTGATGCAGGCCTCACCTGGTGACGGGGTGCGGCAAGGGGTTCAGAGAAGCCAAAGAAGGGCAGGGCCAAGTTGAGGAAACCATTCTTGTAGGAGTCAAGCTGTCGGTGCCCCTGCACCACCTTGTAGAGCTCCAGACACACAAGACCAACCACAGCTGCTGTGGTCGTGGCAATGGCTGGGATTATCTTCCCTGCAATCAGCTTGCTCTGTGAGGCAGGAAGGAATCAAGGAAGGTGGTAGTTAAGGTGGAAGAGGCTCAGAGTCTACAGAAGGGATGGAACATGGGGAACGCCAGCCTGGGAGGGGTGGAACATCAGGTCTAGATTCCCCTCACCTTGTGCCGGTCTGCAGGGGGAATGTCATAGTTCTCTGCCCGGAGATTGGATGCAGCCACAATGAAATCCATATGGAAGTTGCTGTCATCATCCTGAGTAGGGGGTCAAAGGGGGAGAGTAGGGAGACAATGAAGAGAGGATCCGAGGAGGAAGAGGCTCCCTGGCCTCTGGGGACACAAGTTTCCTCCACTGTGATTACCTGCTGGGCACTCTCAGATCACAAAGGCATGGCCGGAACATCTATTAGTTCAGGACCACATGGCAGGCCCATGATCTAGTCCCCACAAAGGCCTGGGGCTGCCTCCAGAGCCCCGGGGACCTGTTCTGTCCAGCCCGTCCACGCTTAGCCCACCCCCCTGCCTGCCCAGGGCCCCCACCCAGCACCTTCTCAAAGTCGATGGGGTACATCTTGAACCCACGGAGCTTTTCTGGACTGGGCAGTGTGGCCTTGAGCTCCTCTAGACGGCTGTCATCTGCAGGAAGAGAGGGACACCACCAGCCCATGAGACCCCCGGCTAGGTTCTGAGGTGGAAGCAGGAGCCCAGGGTGGGGTAAAAGGTATTCAGGTAGATAAAGGATTTGAAAAGGAAAGACATCCTGGGAGAGAGGAGGGGCAAGGGGGAGAGGCAGAGCAGGACGACAGAGTACAAACCTGAAGACAACAGAAAGTATAGCAAGAGAGATGTCTCTAGAGACACAAAGGAACTGAAACGAAGACATTAGGAGCAAGTGGAGATGGAGAAATCAAGATGGGAGAGCTGTAGATCTTGGGGAGAATGATGTAGAAAGAGGTGAGGACACATGGAGGAACATACACGGGAGAAGGAAGGACGAAAAAGACATATAAGGAGGGGAAGTTGGGAGGAAATATGTAGATGTGGATACAGAGAAAAGATGGAGAAAGAGAAAGAATATATGAAAAGAGGAAGATGGGGCCTATACAAAGGGTGAGACAGGTAGGAGAAGATTTTATATACATTATAGATACGTTGTTACATACAGTTGTATACACTGTACACATACACGAGGAAAAAAGTGGAGGAAACATGGATGAAATGAAGGGAGACGTGCAAGGAATATAAAGAGAGGAAGAGGAGGGGGTAGATATTTGGGAAGGCAGATGGGGAGATGACAGGGGACATGGGAGAAGACATACGGAGAGGAAGACATGGGGGAGAGACATGGAAGGTAAATGCAGGGGGAGGTACATAGCTAGAGATACATTATCTATGGAGGGAGAGAGATGCGGAAAGGAACATAGGTGGATAAATACCCAGACCAGGGGTCAGCAAACTATGGCCCCATGAGCTAAATTCAGCCTGCCACCTACTTTAAAAGTAAAATTTTATCAGAAAATAGCCACATCTATTCATTTACATGTTGTGTATGGTTGCTTATGTGCTTCACCTGCAGAGGCGATTAGCTGCAGACACTACATGGCCTCAAAGCCTAAAAGAATTACCATTTGGCCCTTTAGCCCTGATATACCGCATGAGCTAGGGGAAAGAGATGGAGCGCTGAGGGGGGAGATATGGAGAGGGAGATGGGGAGGGAGTGTTCAGAGAGAGTTGAGGCAAGATATATGGAGGGCAATACTAGGGTGAAGACGCGTACAAAGGAACACAGGGGTGGGAAGAAGGGGGCAGATATCAAAGGAGAGAGACCACCGGTGGAGCTCACACTCCCCAGATAAACAGATCAAAGAAAAAACAGAGAAAAGTTGTTCTTTCCAGGGCAAATACACACAGAGCAGGAGGAACAAACAGCTATTTCTCCTGAGGACCAGAGAGTGGTAAGGAGAGGGAAGGAGGGAGAGAATTTGCCTCAACCGATCCTCTTCATTTCAGAAGAAGGGAGGCTCAGAGGAAGGTGTGGGGAAGCTCCAGGCCTGGGGTCACAGAGCAGAGCCTGGGGCAGAGGACTGGTAGGGAGGCTGGACTGGGCAGGGGACAAGTGGGGGTGGTGACTTCTGGCTGACTGGCCAAACACCCTTACCAACAGAGGCATTGGCGCTCTGCAGCTCCTGGTCAGAGACGTGAATCTTGACGCCAGACTTGGGAGTGAACTCGGGGACCTGCACAGACTGTAGGAGTGTGGCCACAGCAGCTCGGTCCCGAGAGCCCATCAGCCCATAGGCCTGGGCAAACAGGTTGGCAGCAGCCATGACGTAGTCCAGGTGCAGGGGCTGGGAGAAGGCAGGGCCCAGAAGGGTGAGCACATCAGCCCTCACCTGGGGAGTCTCGGCCTCTTTCCCACCCACCCACCCTCCAGCAGACCCTAGGAGACCCCAGGGAGGAGACTTACATTGTTGACATCAAAGGTGAGCGGGTGCGGACAGCGTTTGGGCCCAGACCAGAATGGAGCTCCCGAGCTTGTGAGCTAAAGGAGTAGAGAGACTTCTGAGGAGCAGGACTTGAGAGTGGAGGCCTCTCTAACCAACCTAACTCCTCATCTTGGCCCTGCATGTGCCCTGACTATCATGGCTGGGCACGTGCAGGGAGCTGGAGCCAATCATGAAAGACCCAGACCGTAGGGTCCTGTGGACAGAAGTTCCGACACCAGGCTGACCAGGGCACTTGCTAAGAAAACAACTACAATTCCTGGGCACTCACTTTGTGCGAGACACACAGCCATTTAACAAACTCTTATGGATTGCCAGGCACTGTACTAGCTTAATATAAGTAGACACCAATAAATCCTCACAAAACCCCCCATGAGGTAGATTACTACTATCTCTACTTCACAGATGAGGAAACTGAGGTGCAGAGAAGTTATGTGACTTGTCCAAGTACAAATGGAGCTGGGATTTGAACCCACACTGATTCCTGTGCTCTGAACTCCAAAATTCCTCCCATATAATCCCTACAGCTCTGGAAGTCAGGTCTGACTCAATCCACACCGCAAGTAAGGAGAACAGAAATGAGAAGTCTCTCACTCAAAGAAAAATGATGGACAGAACAGGTCAGGCTTAATCACTCTTCTGAGATCCCCATGCCTCAAGGCACCTGCCACGGCCGGACTAACGACCGCGAGGAGCCACACACAGAGCCCACAGCAGGCTGCTGTTTCGGGAAAATGCACTCCAGCAAATGGACCTGGCAAGTGGGTGTTACCTGGTCGGGAGGAAAGTTGTGCAGCAGCTGCCGGATGTTGTTCGAGTATTGGGTGTGCCAGTGGTGGCAGGCCCAGGTCACACAGTCGGCCCAGGTCTGTGGCCGCTGCAGCACCAGGCTGCGCTGCACGGCCTCCAGCACCTCCAGGGGTTGGGTGCCTGCCAGCCGCAGGGTCCGCTCCACAAACTTGGGGTCTCTGTCAGGAATTAGAGGGGTTAAAGGGGCAGGATCACACAGCAGCCCCAGGAGTGGGCTCCAGGGCAACCCCACTTTCTCTATGGAAAACTAGTCCTGACCCGCAATGGTAGGAGGTTCAAGCATTCACTGACTCCTGTGCCAAGTGTGCCTGGTGCTGTTCCAGTGGTGAGGAAAGCATGCTCTGGCTGGCGGGCAAGGGATGGGGTGAGGGAGCATCTGGTTACTTACGTGAGGTACTGGTTGACGTTTTCTGCTGGCTGCTTGAAGAGGCCTTCAAACTCATCCCGAGCCCACTACAGACAGAGCAAATGGATTACATGGGGCAGTGGCTGACAAAATGGGTTTCTGGAGGCATTAAAAAGACCATCAGTGAATAAATTAAACGGGGAACACAGCTGCTTTGGGAAAAGGGAAGCCCCCAACCACTGCTCCCAACCTTCCCTACTCCCCCACCCCTGGCACCTCAATTTAAAAACCAATGAACTTGATCTGGGCAGCGGTTATACTAGTAAATGTGTGAAAAAATTTATTCTTAAGACCTGTGTATCCTACTCGAGACATGTTAAGCCTCAATAAAAAAGAAAAAATTCAGTTATATATGTTTTACCACACACAAAAAAGAAATTCAGACCCAAAACAAAAATGATCCCTCTAGAGGCCCTAGGAACTCAGCTGCAAACAAGACAGAGGCTCTGCCCTCTGAGAATTCCTAGGACAGTAAATGCAGCCACTGGCGAGGGGGGCTGGAGGGTAGAGATGTTAAGAGATTTAGGTTCAAATCCCAGCTCTGCCACATAGTATCTAGTTTTGTGACTTCTGGAACATGTGGTAACACTTACCTCTGCATCCTCCTTTCTAAGACACAAGCTGTAACATAATACCTACCTGAAAGTGTTGCATGAAGGAATGATTATGTATGTATGTATTTAAAGTTTATTTACAACAACCCCAGATACACAGCAAATGCTAAATGCCTTACAGGAGCCCTGTGAGGCAGATACTACTGTCACCCCCATTTCAGAGGAGGAATCAGAGGCATGGAGAGGCGAAGCCCCAGGTCACACATGGCCTAGTGAGACTGTGGCAGGGGCACAAATACAAACACATCCACTCTAGAACTGCAGGGTCAGAAGGGACAGTGACAGAGCGAACTGCTTTATTCCCACCCCCATACTCCTAAGCATCCTGAATGGTTTGCTCCCAAAAGATCGCACTAAGAACCACTCTGACAGCACAGTGGTTACCCTAAGCTTGTCCTTAGGCTCCAGTTCGTGGCCCCAGTGCCTGTTACCAAGGTGTGTTCACTTTGTAAAAACTCAGCCAGGTGATTCGTGCAGTGTTCTGCATTCTGTACGTATATGCACCATACAGACAGAATTGTCCCAGAAAACGAGTTGTCAAACCCATTTTGAGCTACAGGTGGGGAAACATGAATATGGACTATTAGAGACAAATAAATAACTAGAAGAGACGGTAAGAAATTACCGTTAATTTTGTTCAGCACAAAAGTAGTGCTTGATTAGACAGCGGCAGTTCTCACTTGGGAGTGAGCGATTCTGCCCCCAGGGGGGACATTTGGCAATGTCTGGAGACATTTTTAGTACAACTGCAGGGGCGTGCCATTGGCATCTAGTGGGTAGAAGCCAGGGATGCTGCCTAAACATCCTACAGTACACAAGACGTCCCCTCAAGGATAAACAGATATCCAGCCCCAATGTCAACAGTGGCAAGATTGAGAGACCCTGTTACCCTCCTTCACAGCAGAAGTATACTGACGTATTAGGGAGGGAAGTGTTGGGATGTCCGTGACATACTTCAGCACAAAGGAAAAAAATTCGTGAATCTAAGGAGAAAATGTGGCAGAACGTTAACAATTGTTAAAATTAGTTGAGGAGTGGCAATGTGAGTGTTCACCATACTATTCTTTACACTTGTCTGTATGTTGAAAATTTTTGAAGAGGAAAGTGAAAAAAAAAGAATGAATCATTCTGAAAGTCTAGGCTGCTGGATAGGAAGTGAGGGAGGAAGGTTTGGAGAAAAAGCATATCTCGGGCTTAGCCTGCCACACCTGAAGGCCAGGGGCCTGGTGGCCCAGAGGCAGGGTGCCTGCTCCTTCCCTCTCCCCGTGAAGCTGATCACCTGCAGGGTGTGCTCGATGGCGTTGGGGAAGTTCTTCAGCGTGCAGATGGGGATGGACTTCTCAGGTGGGTCCTGGCTAGAGTTGTATGACTCTGTTAGGAAGGGGATCACCACCTGCACGTTGCCCTTGGTGCCCAGTGTGCCTGACTCCAGCAGTGGCTTACGGTAGTACACACAGCGGCGATCCATGTACATGCCTGTAGCGGAGGGGACAGCATGAGTGTGGGAATGGAACATCAGGAGAGGACGGGAAGATAGGCACCCCTGACACATGTGCATGCACACACAACTTTGCCCTTGACCTCCTCATCCGCCTCCAAACTCACGGGCATCCACGTTGTCCAGGGCATTGGCCACACCATCCAGGTTTTGGAAGAAATCGTCATCATAGATACGCTCCGTGTCAGGGCCCACACGGTTCTGGTGGCTTGTCACCTGGATGTGTGGATTCATCTGGCGCACAGCTGCTGCGGCCGTGTCAGACTTCAACTTCTAGGGGGGCAATGCGGGGGATAGGGGAACAGAGCTCAGTTATTTGTGCATTCAAACCTCTACAGAGCTGCCCTCCTGAAGGCTGACTTATCTAATGCTGGGAAGAACCAGGCCCTGAGTTCAGAAGGCTCCCTGGTTTAGCAGGAGACAGTCCATGACAGTGCCACATGGCTAGGGCTGTCATGGACGTGGCAGGTGCTCAGTGGAAAGGGCAGCAGTGGACACACAGAGACTGGAGACAACAGGCCAGCCATCTGTTCCTTTGCCTAACCGACATCTATTGTTCTTTCAGCACCCAGGGCTGGGGTACGTTCCCCCAAACAAAACAGCATCCTAGCACACAGACAAGCAGGATCCTTTCAAAGCCCAAGTCAGGTCATGCCCTTGTCTGCTCAGAGCCCTCCCCAGGCTCCCACCTCCACTGAGGGTAAAATGCGTTGGGCCCTATTTTCTCCAGCTCATCTCCTCCCAGCCCTGGATCTTGGCCTGGAGCACTCCTCCCCAGAAGAGGGGGCTCTATTCCCTCACACCCTCCAAGTCCACAGAAATGAGCCCTTCCTTAACCACTGTCTTCAAAACTGCCACCAGTCTCCCAGGTGAGCCTGATTGCCCCCGTTTTGTTTGTTTCTTTTGCACAACACTTACCATCAACATTAACTATTCACTTCACTATCGTATTGTGTTTATTGTCTACTGTTTCTCCTCCCCTACTAGTATCTTTATTTCCTTGGTGTACCCCAAGTACCTAGAACAGTACCTACCTCAATAACTACCTGGTGAATAAATGAATGAATGAAAGGGGAACAGCTCCTGGGCAGGCAAAAATGACACTGTCCCCTCCAGAAGGCTTACCAGTTCGATCCCTATATAACCCAGCTTCCCTCTGTGCAGAGGAGTGAACCTAGCAGGCTTAAAGTGCTCTCCTAGGAGAGGCCTGCTTGTAAGCTTGGCCCTTGGCTGGCGTCTAGGAACCTGGATTTTCAGGAAGGTACTCACCATTCCTTACCTGATAAGGGGTGGCTCACGGTGCCTAGACGGCTTATGCAAACCATGTGATTTATGCTAAACTCCTGCTTTCTTTCTGGGACTCTGGAATTTGGGGACACACCCAGTGGAGGGTTCCTACATGACCAGCCCTCAGTAAAAACCCTGGGCCCTGAGTCTCTAACAAGCTTCCCTGGTTGGCAACATTTCCCATGTGTTGTTGCTACTGGCTACTGGGGGAGTTGAGCGCGTCCTATGTGACTCCACTGGGAGAGGGCCCTTGGGAGCTCGGGCCCGGTCTCCCTGGACTCCGTCCCATGTGCCTTTTCCCTCTGCTGACTGTGCTCTGCATCCTTTTGCTGCGAAATCATAGCCGTGAGTACGACTATATGCTGAGACTGAGAGTCCTCCTGGTGAATCATCAAACTTGGGGGTGGTTTGGGGAACCCTCAACATACTGTCCCAATTAGCACTAACAAGAGGTCAAGGAAAAACAAAAACAAAAACAAAAAAGGAGACAAAAAGTGATAGATTCAATAGAAAGGTAATCAACAAATGTTTGTTGAACAACTAACAGAGAAGCTGAAGGAAAGAAAAAGGCGGAAAGCCTCCTTTCCAGAAAGAATGGGAACAAACTTCAGGAGGAAAGTGAGATGGCAAAGCCCCATCCCCTTCCCACACCCTACTCACCGTGACGTCCCAGGGCCGGAACAGAAACTGTCGGTTCAGATTTGACTTCTCAATGGTGTCCATGTCTGTGACAACGATTTCTCCACCCTCTCTGCAGCCCAGCCCAATCATGGCAAAGTTCTTGAGGAGTTCACAGCCAATGGCCCCTGCACCCACCTAGGAGGCAGCCAAGAAGAGACAGAAGCTGGCCAGGGTGACACCAAGTTGGCATGAAGCCACCTATCACTTCTCCCTCCCCCTGAAGACAGCTAGAGAAGGGCAGAGGATCTAGTATCACATCCTGAAGTCCCAGGGCTGTAAGCAATAACCTACAGTCATCAGAGGGAAGACGCACCAGAGAGAGATAAACAGCACACATCAGGCTTTCCCTCAAGATGAAGAACATGGTGAAAGCCATGCAATAGAAGTATAAAAATCAAAAGACCCTCCTGGGAGGCAGAAGGAGACCCCAGAAGAAGTGGCGAGAGGCCAGGGGAGATGAAGGCAGAAGGTGTCCAAGGGGATCACTCACCAGGAAGTATTTCTGTTTGCCCAACTTTTCCTGCAGGTCTGAGCCAAATACAGCCACCTGCCCATCATAACGATTCTGGCGCTGAGGAATGCAAAGGAAGGAAAGGAGAGTCAGAGAGGGGCCTTGCCCAAAACGCCCCCAGGACACTTTCCTCATGGGTTCCACTCACATACCGGCAGGCACTTGTCCTCTGTGAGAGCCTCTTTGTCCTCAGGGAGACACTCCAGGGCATCAAAGTATAGCCACTGCATGATGGGCATGAACTTCCCAGAGCAGGCCTGGGGATTGGGAAGGAGAGGGGAAGTAGTCAGTGGTTAACTGGGGCCTGACACAGATGGACAGCAAGTGATGGAGTCAGGGAGGTGCCTGGCCTACTCCCAACCCTGTCCTTCTCCACCCATGCTGACCTTCATGACCTCCTGGGCAGCCAGGCCCCCAATGAAGGCGTTTATGGGCGCCAGATCCCCTGCAGCCACGTATGCCAGCTTCCGGATGAGGTCTTCATCCAGGTTGTCCTGCTGCACTGCTGGCAGGGCTCGAGCATTCACAGCCTGTGCTAGGGTCACCAGCTCTGCTGCATCCTCCTGGCGGGGCAGAAGGAACCAAGAGCACACCTGTCAGACCACTGTGGGAAGGGGGGGTGGGGGCGGAGAAAGGAGGGAGAGGGAGAGACAGGGTGGACAGGCAGAGGCATGGTGGGCCTCAGTGCCAAGGTCACGTGCCCTGGCTAGCTCACCCAGCCACTCACCTCATTGCGAGGCCGAGGGGGCCGACCGTGCTGAGCACAGAACTGGTGTAGGGCCTGGAAGCCAATGTGCAGCTGGGCAGGGCGGGAATACTTGGCGAAATCTGTCATCACAAAGTCCGGCTCTGCCAGTGAAGCCAGCAATGATTTCTGTGGGGGGAAGGATATCAGAACCAGAAGAGAGGAATGGAGAACCTGGAGATGCCCAGAACCACCCCTCACAGCCCCCTACTCCCACACTCACAAAGCTGATCTTCTTAGGTACTTTGACCTGACTGACAATGCCTCCACGGATGTAGTCGGAGAAGTTGGAGGTGTCACAAATGCTAAAGGTGTAAGGACCTAGGAGAAATGGGAAAGCTGTCAGGCTACCCATCCTCCCTAAAACCCACAACACCCGCAAGATAAGGAAAAATCCATGCCTGACCCAGCTCAGACATCAGACGCCATCTCCTCTCCACCCCAAGTTTCACTTGAACATCAGAAACCATCTCCCCTCTGCCCAAGAACCAGTTCAGAGCCCATGAGACACTGTGTCCTTGGACCCAATCTACACTGGAAGACTGTCTCTGTTCTCTGTCCAAATCAGCTCTGACATGAATGGATTCTCTGATCTGCTTGGTTCTAACACCAGAGACCTCTTCCCCTTCAGCACAGACACCAGGGACCTATTCTCCTAGAAACAGCTCGAACACGAGCTAGCATCTCTCCCCCATGCCCACTAGCTCTGGATGGACCTCAGAGGACTGTCTCTGGTTCATCTCAGACACCCAGGATGTGTCTTCCCTCACTTCAGAACCCAGGCACATGTCTCCTCCTTTCAATTCCCTGGCCAGAGCCCAGGGACATACCTCCTATCTCCCCTCTGATTCACCCATGGCCCTAGCTCACCCAGGACTTTGATCTCCATGGGCTGACTTCCGTTGAGTTCAATCATGCCCTGTACTTCTGAAAAGGAGACAAAGTCGCCACTCTCAAACCCATGTCGAGCCTCATCCAGGCAGGTAACCACACCGGGGCTGTCCTGGTTAAAGGAGGAGTGAGCCTCAGAGGCAGGCTCAGGGCATCAGAAGCAGACAAGAAGGCCTGCTGCTGCCCATGTGCCTGCCAGGACCCCTGAGGCTGGTCTCCTCACCTTGGTGACCATAGAAACCATAGCACTGAGTGGCTGCTCCCCATTGGAATCTGTGAGGATCATTTCCTCTCCAAAGTCACAGAAGAGCTGCCTGTAGAGGGAGGCAACAGGGCTGATGCCCAAGTCCCATGCACACAGGGACCCCATGTGTCCCTCAAGATACAGCGAATACTTGTTGAGCAAATTCAGCCCATCACTACTGGGAATCAGACGGTGCTCATGCCACACGGGGAGAGGTGAACACACAGAATCCAAAACCCGGGGGGCCGAGGCGGGCTGAGGACAGTGAGAGCTTAGGGGTCTTGGCCAGGGCCTGGCAGGGGTAAGGGGAAAATGGTGGGGGCACTCACCCAAATAGGCCCCTCGTGTCTGCCACCACCAGCTTGATGCCACGGCTATGACAGAACTCACCCACCCGCAGCTGGTCCTCCAGCGGGGTGTTGGTGAGGACCACCACCTGTGGAGAGGTGGAGGCTCAGGGTGAGGGCCTGGCATTCAGGTGAAGGGAGAGAATAATGGAGGAAGGCTGGTGCCAGGGCTCAGGGAATCCTTAAGGCTTTGCTGGTCCAGCTCTCTTTCACAAACACAAAGTATAGACTCTGATACAAAGTATCAGATTCAGCAAGGGTGACGCTCAGCAGGGTGAAATGTGAATCCCTAGACCAAGACAGACATGCAAGGTAACGAGGCAGCTGGGAGGACAGAGTTTGGAGAACAGCTGACTCATTTATTTGCTAACACCCACTGCTGCCTGCCTACAACCCTGCCATGCCTTGGGAGGCAGAGAAGAAGTAAAACTCTGTCCCCAGCCAAAGTCTGAGCTCACTCCTACCACACCCACTTACTTCCAATTCTCAAGATGATGCCTGCCCAGCCATGATCCTTGGGACTTTGCTCTCTGCCTGAATGCCCACCCTCTCCCACTAGGGTGGGCACCTACTCCTTCATCAGGGTCCAGTGGCAGTGCCTTGGCTGGCCGGGACACCCCAGGGGAGAACCTCAGCTCCCACAGCTCCGCTTTCTGGCCCAGAGTTTTTGTTTAACAAACAACCAGATGGCCCCTATAAGGTGCTAGCTGCTATTCTGAGAGTTTAGCCCTCACAAAAACTCTACAAAGTGGGTATTACTACCATTCCCAAGTCTACAAACAGGAAAAAGTAAGGCTCAGGAGATTAAGTGACCTGCCTGGGGTCATATGAGTAGAATTCATAACCACTATGCAGCACTGTCTGTTCACATCTTACCCCCTGAAAAGGCAGGTCCAGGGTCTAAATTTTGCCTGCATCCCCAGCGTGAAACTGGAGCACTGGCCAAGCCATCACATATCAAATAAATGAACAATTCAGACATGGGCCCTGAGAGAATTTGGCAGGAGGCTGGGCAGTGCCTAAGGTACCTGGAAGCCACTAAGGAAGTCCTCGACGAGGGGCCCGGTATAGGCGCTGACAGGCACGTAGCTGTTGAGCTCAGCAAGGCGGGGCTGTGAGACCTCAGCCCGGTTTTTACCGATGTCCTCCTCCCGCAGGTAAAACTGCAAACGGGAGTGGGAGAAGAAGTGAAGTGGCTTCAGAGCCCAGGTGGGCTGGTGGATTGGCAGGGGAGAAGGGGGCTAGGAAGAGGTACCTGGGAGGAGAGGTCAGCCCACTGGGCAGTGCCCTGGTCATGTAGGGTGACAGCCTTGACCCCACCAAGGATGATGTTCTTGGCAATTTCCACGCCCAGGCCCCGAAGGCCTGATACCAGTACGCTGGATGTCTGGAGCCGCTTCATTGCTTCGTGGCCCAACACGTACCTGCCAGGTTAAGGGGGCGTTCCGAGTCAGGGCCTGGCCTTCATGACCCTATCCTCTCAGTGCCCCACTCCCACCTCTCAGCCCGACCCCGGCCCTACTTACAGCTGCCGGGAGTAAAGGCCCTCATCTATGTCTGCTTCACTGCCGTTCTTCGCCATTCCCTAGGGATGGAGGGGAAGAACAGGTTCAGGGAGATCTGCAGGAGTAGGGTGTGGACAGACAGCCAGTGATACAGAAGACTTTCCCACCCACCACCCCCGCCACCCTGCCTGCCAATCTCCAGGAAGAAGACACTCACGTTGGTTGGCACCGAGGGCACTTCGGACAACACGGAGTGAGCAGGGGAACAGTTAGAACCCGGCTTTGGATCAGGCCCGGACACGCGACGTTTCTTGGACAGCGGCGAGCTGGACATCTGGAGGGAAAAAGGAGGGTCAGAGGTGAGTATGAGGCACGTAGGCAAGTGTTTCTGTTGGTTAGTGGAAACTGTGGGGGAAGGGAAGACTTAAAGGCTAGCATCCCCATTTTATAGGAGAGGAGACAGGAACAGAGAGTTGAGGTGACTTGCCCAGGGTCACACAGCTGGCAGAGCTAAGATCTGAACCCAGGTTGTCTGGCTTGCGATCCATGCTGCTGACCACTAGGCTATTCGCCTTTCTCCCCAGCCCAGCATAATGAGAGAGACATTCCAATCCTGTGGGGTGAAAGGAATGACAAGAACGTACTTGCGGGCAAGTCAGAGGAGGGATGGAGATTCAGGTCAGACCCTGCCACTCCTTGACAGATATCATTTAACCCCCATGGGCTCAGTTCCCTCACCCCTAACATAGGGGTGACAATACCACTTATCTACCTCACAGGGTTGTTGAAGTGATGAGACAGAACACAGACCACAGAGCCTGGAACAGGGCAGGGACGGAACAAGCAGCTTCTCTTCTCCCCTGACCCCAGCAACAGGGGTGCAGGAGGGAAACACGGCTTGGACATCTGTCAGGGTGGCATTACAGCAGGAGATACCCTGCCAAGAGGCCAGTCCACAGAGGGGCTCACGGAGGAGAGTTTTACAAAGCCCACCCCATGCCCCCAGCACTGGGAGAGAAAACACCCAGGCCAACAAAGGAGGTCACAGGGAGAGAGAAAACACGCGCTTCCCAAGACATGTTTGCATGTGTAGTCCCTTGAACAGGTTAACAACAATAAGAAATGAATATTTATTAAGAGTCCTCTCTGTGCCAGACAATCAGACTGTCCTTTATGAGCCCTGCCTCACTTTGTCCTCAAGGAACCCCCATAGGGTTTGGACTACTATCTAAAACATCCTCCTATTGACACTGAAGGAAAAAAACTCATTCAGGGACGTTTGATGACTTGACCGAGGTTTTCCCACAAACAGAGTGTGGCCAAGCTGGGTCCAGACCAGGATCTGCTGAGCTCGAAGCCCAGGCTGCCACCCGGTGTGATCACATTTCATCCCCTCAATGGTCCTGACCCCGCAAGGCAGGGCTGAGCCGCCTTGCCAGACAAATGGGAAAACCTGAGCTCACGAGGTCAAGTTAACTTGCTGAGGGTCACACACCAGGTCCCAAAGACAGAACAACACAGCCTGCTGTGGAAGTCAAATCTGGGGCTGGGGTGACCAGATCCAGACGCTGGAGACTCCAGGACCCTAAGTCATTTCCCCCCGCCCCCAACGCTCCTCTCAGCCTCTGTTCTCCCCCAAGCCTTTTCTGACACCCAATCACACTGAGAATCCCCACTGTACCTAAGATTCCATCTTGGCACCTGTCACACTCCAGCACTAAGCAAGATGACAGGAGCTCCCTACCGTCTACCAAGAGCTTACTGCTTGTCAATCACAGGGTAAAGGGCTTTGTCTAATTCTAACAATGCCCACGAACCAGATAACCTTATGCCCACAACACAAATGAAAACAAAGGCTCAGAGAACTCCAATCACTTGCCCAGAATCACGCAGCTGGTGCGGGACCGTTTGGCAACTGCCTCCTGGGAGAATAGAGTCAGGACTCAGCTCAGGACCCAATTCACAGGGCTAAGGGATGAGGGGTGAGGGAGGAGGACCCAGGAGGCAGGAAGCTGGCAAGGGCCCCTGAATTGCTGGCAATGCTAAGAACCAACCTAGTTAGGAGGAGGCTTGGTGAGTTGGTAGGGAGACAAAGGCAAATCAGATTTTTCCATTTACTGACTTGTCTGATCTGGGGGTCTCGTTTTCTCCAAAAGCAGGAACAAATGGACTATCCTCAAGGGGCTGCTGGGAAGGTTAAAAAAGTCAAGGTCTGTGGTCAGAACCCAGCAACCTGAGTTGGTAAATCAGCTCCTCCCTGACACCTGCAGTGGCCTCCATTAGTTATCTCCTTGCCTTGTCAGTGGTTTGCTTGTTTGAGACACACCATCTCCCTCCTCCCTAAATCAGAGATGATCCAGGGCCAAAAGGATCTTTTCTATCTGGACCTTTTACCTCTGGACCCCTAGTGCTGGCAGCAAGGGTCTAAACAGGTTTTGGCTGATCGTTCAAAAGTGGATTTCAACTGGAGAGATCTGGAACAGGCCAGTCTCAAGGCAAGCAGAAGGGGTCTAGGACAGAAACTCCAGAGGGGAGCTAAAGATCTCCCACTCCCAGCACAAAATCGATCCCCTTTCTCCTTCAACATATGCTCAGGCCCCAATTAGGATGCGTATACTAACAACTGTTCAGCAAAGCTGAACTGGGTGGGGCTTAAAGAGTTTCAGAACTTGCCTGGGTCTCCAAACTGGTGATTTTGAACCCTGAGCATTCTCTACCACCCAAACCAGAGAAGAAGGTTTGAGGTAGGAGTCCTGCAGCAGGTTTGAAAGGGGGGCAGCACAGGGCCAGGTTATCAGGATGGAGAAGCTAGGGCACAGGATGCTGGGGCCTGTCAAGCCTCCTGGGAGGGAATAACCGAGAAGTCCCTGGGAACATAAAAGAGAGCAGTCAGGAGTCAGTTGCCTGAGCCCATGGAGGCTCAGAGGAAGATGGGAAAGGGGATGTTAGAAGCCCTGGGGGGTGGGCAAAGTTGTTAAGACTCAAATCTGGGTCTTTGGAAAAGGATTTCTTAGGGAAGGGCCAGGAAAGTACACTGGAGGCCCCCAGGGGCTGCAAGGAGGTGGGAGGGCAGTTGCTGGGCCCCATGGAAGCTGCACAGAGAATGCGTGGGGGGTTCTGGGGACCAAGGAGGCTGCAGGAAGATGCTGGGGTTGGGGAGAAGGGGTGTTCTCCATCAGGAGAATGCTGGGGCCCTGAGGGTTTCTGGGGGCAGACGTTGGTGGCAGAGAGAAATCTTTGACCAAAAATAATAGGGACTTGCAGGGGGAGAGGTGTCTCTGATACTGATGCCAGAGTCCCAGGAGGCTATGAGGGTGGATGCTGAGGCCCAAGGTGGGTTTGTGGAGGGACTTCTATTGGAGCACAAAGGCCCTGTGTTGACCTCTGATTGGTACATGCTAAGTACCGCACCTGCTCTGAGGGAGTGGAAAGGGGAGGCTGAGCCCAGACAGTTCTGGCCCTGAAAAGTTGAGTAAGCAGATACTGGCTAGATCCCCAAGTGGGGTTGGGTTTCTCTAACCCATTATGTGGGATCCCATGGAGGATCTGAGAGTAGATGCTAAAAAGGGAGTTTTCTACTCTGATGGGGAACAACTGGACCTGTTTGGAGAGGGGACATCTAACGATGATGCTGGAGTCCTACAAAGCTGAAAACAGAAGCTGAGAGCCTCTGACTGAAGATGCTGGGGACCTTGAAAGGCTCTGAGGGCAGATTCTGAGGCCTGACGCAAGGTTAAGGGATCTGTGAGAGGAGCTGGAGCCATGGCTGGGTTTTGAAGGCAGAGACTGAGTGAAGGGTGGGGTTTGAGAGGCCAGTCTCTCTGATGGAGGGGGCTAGGAGCCAACAGAATCTGCAAAGGCAGATACTGGCCGGGGAATCTCTGATGGAGAATTATGTGTCCAAACAGTTCCTCCCTGCTGTCTGGTCCCCTGGGAGGCTCTGAGGGAAGATACTGGGGGTTAGGGGCATCTGATGGAGGAGATGCTGAGGCCTGCAAATGGTAGTCTCTGAAGAGAACACTAGAACCATGAAAAAGCGGGCATTCCCTTAAAGCAGAGGAAGTCTCTACAGACAGATTCTAGGAATTAAAGGAGTCTCTAAAGGTAAATGCTGAGAAGTACCTCTGAATAGAAATGCTGGGCCCAGAGGCATTTCTGATGGAAGATGCTAGGACCAGGGTGGGGCTGGGAGACCTCAGAGGGGTCTCTGACAAGGAGGCCAGGCCCAAATAGCCCTTCACAGGGTCTAGTCCCCTTGGAAGCTCTGAAGGCAGATGGTGTGTGCATGTGCAGTGCGCGTGAAAAAAGATGCTAGAGAAGACTCTCAGAAATGAAGACCGTATGGACCCTCCCAGGGGTCTGGCCCTTCTTAGAAGCTACGAGGACAAATACTGAGGAACTAGGGATGGCTGGAGAGAGATTCTGAGAAAGGTCTTTAATGGCATACACTGGTGGGGGGCTTTGACCAGAAATGTGGATCCCGCAAGTCTCTACCGCGTTCGGGGGGAGTTCTGATCTGCAACACAAGGTTCAGGACGAGGTCAGGTCCCTGACTAGGGATGTTGGACCTGAGTCTCTGAAAGCAGACCCTGGTGGGGGGGGGGGGGTGTCTGACCCCAAGGTCAGATTTCAGAGGGACTGAGCTGGTCCCAGATGGGAAGTGTCGGCCCCGCCCCAAGACCTGCGTCCCCTACCCCCAACCCCCTGCTGCCGATCCCCTAGTCCGAGTCACCACAGCCCGCTCCGGCATCAGCCTGGCCCAGCGCCAGCCCAGGACCCTCCAATACTTCCCGAAACCCCTGCCCTGGCCAAGGCGTTGAGAAGGGCCATTTGTTACCAATGCCGGTTCCCCGGGTCGCGCCGCCGCCAACTCCTCTAGGAGCCGAAGCCAAGCCCGGCCGCCACCCTCCTCCTTCTCCTCCTCCTCCTCCCCGCCGCCTGGGCTGCCTAGAATCGCCGCCGCCGCCTCCGCCGCCTTCTCCTCCCCCGGCCTTAGTGGGTGCGCTCGTCCCTGCCACCTCCTTCACCTCCGCCGCCGACACAAGATGGCGGCCGCTGAGCCCGAGGCCGGAACAAAACCTTGGTCCCCACCCCCAGAAACCCGGATGCAGGCAGGCCGCGCCCATTCATGAATCATGTATAATGGTCTCTGCCTGTCTGTGACTCATTCAAAGAGGAATAGCTCCACCTGGTGGCTACTACGGCAGCAACGAGGAAAACAGATAAAACAACGTAAGGCCACGCCCCACGGACCGTGAATAACGAATACACTGTTGCTGCCAGGGAAACCAAGAAAGGCCATCAAGGCCACACTTCCTGACAATGAATTATGCA